TAAACCAGAGTAGCGAGCGAAACATGATTGATATACCTGGTTGCAGTGAACGAACAAACTTTATACATTTTTGTGTGTTTTGCAACACATCTATTTTTAAGAGTGTGCGCACTCAATATCTCTCCGATTTGAATCAAATTTTCACCAAATGTTCGCCAGTGCATGCAAAATATGGTAAAGTTGTAAAATTAACAAACAATAAAATGATATAAGAATTATTCAAGAAAATCTTAAATCGCGGTACCGTTACGCTTTTGAGTTGTGCTCCTGCTGGTTTTAAGATATATTTATGAAAATATCATTTTTATACAGTAAAATAGTTGTTCTAAAAAGTTGTGTTCGGAATTTTTTGTTTATTTCGTCATTCCGCTGATATGGCGATTTATTTCGACGACTGCAATATATTTCTGAATTGTTTGAGTGAATTGCTCTTTATTATTAAAATATCCAAAATTAAAAAAAAGCCGAACACCATTTTGAAACTGATGTCTTAGCTATGTCCTGTGAAAATTTGAAAAAAATTGATCAAAACCCGCAGGAGCACAACTCGTTTGAAAATCAGTAATTACCGTAAAATTCTTCGGGAGAAAATTGAATTTGAATATTACATTTTCAATGTTTTTCTTATTGCAGCGAAATGTATTTTATTAAATAACTCTGCGAGTTTTCGAATTTTTTCGTTCAAACTTGGTCAGATAGTAGAACTAGTCTAATGCTTTCATGGAAACCAATAAAAAAATTTTAGGCAAAATTAACACTCAAAGGTGTTCTGTAACCTTAAAGGGGAAGTCAAGTCCGTTCTGCGCATCGGTTCTGCGCATAACAATGTGAGGACCTCTGATGTGAACATTGCCCAAATTTCGAATTTTTCTGAAAATAAACTTTATTTTATATTCATTTAGAAGCATAGCGAATCAAAATGGTGTTAGATATTCCGACAATACATCATATTTTAAAAAATACAGCACTTCAAAATGTAAACAATCCGTTTGTTGACATTACGGACTTGACTTCCCCTTTAACTAAATTGACAAGTTCTATTATTTTTAGAAACTAGGTTACCTAAAATGTAGTAAATGCTGCCTTTAAGAAGCACACGCCATGAACGTTTTAAAATACTGTTTGTAGTGATTGCAAATCAAAGATGTGTTATCGCATATACGAAATATACAAATACAAAATTTGAAGCGTAGCCTATAAAACTGTGAAACGTATTAAAATACTATCTAAACTATAGTGAAATATAGCAGTATTAGACTTAATATGAAATCCGATAGTATTTGTCGTTTGTATTTGTACGCACACTATAAAAACAGTGATTAATTCAACAGATTCCACTTGATATATTCTTGCTTATGCTTTAGTTTACACTTGCAATTTTCACTGCGATTTCTACAACGATTTTTTAAAATCTCCAATGTACACACCCTGCGATTTTGACTGCAACTTTGGTGCGACAACACTGCAATTTGCAGCGATTTTTCCATTTTACTGGCTTGTAAACTGAGTTAAATTTTCAATACTTCACTCAAGTTTACAAGCAATACAAAGATTTTGTTCTAATTAGGTTGTTTACGGCTGTTTTCTGACAAGTGATTGGCTGTAGAAAAAAATTCCCCCCTGTTCGTCGCCTGTTAATAGTGACGTCTAATAGTGATTTTAATATGAGTTATGTCATGCAAAATGGGTCTGAAACTTTCTGTATTGAACTACCACTCGCTCACAAATTAATTAACTGCATTTATAATTCTATTGTAGATTTATACCTGTGCAATATTGCTTTTAAAAACAGCGTGAAAGTGAATAATTGTAAATATTTAATAGCACTGTAATTCAAATAGCCGCGCGTTGCATGTTGGTAAAATGACTTTCAACCAACATGCTTTGCGGCTCTAGCAAGATTGAGATTTTAAGTAGCTGTACGATTTTAGTCTGCTGCCTTGCTTGCTCGCTTAATGCTCGCTTGCTGCGGCAGCAATGACTGTAGTTAATAACTCTGCCCCACGTACCCACCCTAACGACAAATTACGCTATATCCCCAAATCTGGGATATCACGTGACCATACTCGAACAGGATCTCGCCGCGGGGCCGGTGTTTGGGGGGCGTGGCGGAGGTGAGACCCTGTGAAACAGGTTGGTCAAAAAATTCTCACTCCTTCGAACTCTCCTCAGTATTTTTGAAGGTTAATTTTCATAGGGCTCTATATCATAGGAGTTGTCGTTCCAGTTATATTTAGTTCAATGGCTGTACCCCATTGACGTCAAATCCGCCATGTTTTCGCCGATACTTATTTCAGTCGAGAGCACGATCTCCAGATATATAGGTATAGCTCAGTGGATTTACTCTTCTTCGGCAATCATGGTTTCGCAGAATTCTTCTGAGTTGCCGCAAGCTAAGCTGTACTCCATGAAGGGCATAAATATCTCATATATGAAGGGTCACAAGGAAAGCTGAAATTTCTGGGGCCGTAAAGCCAAGTCGAAAGTAGTTTATAATTGCTTCATTCCGTGCCAATTCTAGTTCTTGGATAGCAGGAGAATATTGTGGTGAAATACCACTACAGCTAGCTATTTCTAATACGAAGATAGTTATAAACACATGCACGTCTACTTCTATTTACTACGTGAGTATGTCTTTCCTCAACGACATAGATGAACTGCACAGAAAGTCGCGAAAAATAAAATTAGGAAGCGAAAAAAGTCCCCGAAATAAAAAGAGGGAGCGAAAAAAGTCGCTAAAATAAAAATATGATTATGTCACCTCCGAGCCACCGTACATATCAGATTATTGTTTAAAATTGTACATATTTAGCGTCGAGTTTGATTGTCACTTTTATTAGTATCCAATCTCATTACATGCTTAGTTACAAAAAGTTGGCTAAAATTCTAAATAGCTACACTTGGATGGTCAATCCTTTTCGCTATTTATTCTACGTGTCCGTAAATTGAATACCTAATGTTATAGATTCAACAGAAATTGTTTATCGAAATGTATACATAAATGAATTACCAACGTTTATAATAAACTTTGCGCGTTTTGGTGGTTTGCAAAATTTCGAAAGTTATTGTTTAGTTTGCAAGCGGCAGCGGGTCATCGGTTGGAGGCTCATTAGTGTTTGTTGCCTCAATATCACGACAAAACAGAATATCTTCTTTTCCGAGACCTACCAGATACTGCCATATCCACACTTGCTGATGAGGATCTAATTTGAACTCAATCTTCTCTTTAACCTCCTTTACGTCTTCCCAACTTTCGTTTTTTGTGTTCACTTTCTTTCCTCCGTATTCTAGTTGCAAAGCAAACTGTGCCCGGGCAAAAGCTCCGGCAAGATTCCCAGCGCTGCCAGAAACCGTGGGTTGAATTTTCCAGTTGTGCTCGATTGTTGACAATTCAGACCTCTTCACTCCTTTCAGGTGTGAAATTTCTTTGGACCAATGAACCTCGACGTCTGAATCGTTTGCGATGGATTTAATTTGCTCCCATTTTGCAAAAGTGCTTCCTTGAGTGATTGCCAATCCACCAGGCAAGAAGTCGACAACAGACCTGTGCATAGAGTATAATTTACCGTTTGAATCGTCTTTCAAATTGGTCGCCCTGCGGTACTCGACACCCCAATTACGAACTGGCTCCAAAATGTACACGTACTCGTCCCTACCCCAGTAGTAGAGACCGTTTTTGCAGTTTTCGTGGATGGGAAACTCTTGCCCGTCGTGGTCTTCTTTCATGTTTGTAGTTGTCCGGTAGACACCTCTATCCTGGAACACGATGTAGAAAGATTCATTAACTGAATAGTAGTTATCTCCGCCGCGACAGTTGGGATGGAGGGGAAACACTTGAGCATCTGTGTCCGCCTTCATGTTCCGTACTCTACGGTAGCTGTCGCCTTTGATGATGTAGAAATAACCTTCTACGCTTGCAAGGTAATGCTCTCCATTTTGGCAGGAAAGATGCAGGTCAAAAATCTCAATGTCAGAACCTCCATGAAAGTTGCTTGATTTCAAATAGACACCGATATCTGAGCGGACGATGTAGTAGTAGTCGTTAGTACCAAGGAAATCAATTCCGTGAGCTTTCGAGTGAGGAACAATTTCGGTAGTCATGACTAGAATGAAAAAACACAACTTTATAAATAGTTCAAATTCATGTATGCTGTTATTCTTGGCTATACTGTCTATAATTATAATAATAATTTACTGACTGAGAGTGAGGGCAGGGGCGCAAATGCAATTTTTTTAAGGGCGGTGTGCGCACAAAGGAGCGATTTTTTTCACCAGGGACCGACTTCGCGGCTCGTGCAAACTACATATTATTACGATCTTATAGAATAAATAGTAAAGTGGTCATTTTTTAATTCTTGTTATTTTAATATATGCAACAACTACAACAACAATATCTTTAACTGACTGTCCACAGGCACTAATAAAAAAATTTCATGCGAGTCACTATATGAAATGTTTACATGAAGCAGTGCGTCACGACGAACAATCTCAGGGAGTTTATGGGCTTAAGGCATCGAAACGCTCATATCCCACTCCCCTTTGCGCGCCTAAAATGTGACGCACTGCTTCATGTAAGCCTTTCATATAGTGACTTGCATTAATTTTTTCATTAGCGCCTGGGGGCGAGGCAGCTACGGATGAAAGTTTTAATTAATTTGAGCTTTGAGAAGCTTCGCTCGTTTGAAGCCCATCGTTACAGGAGCTGTGAGAACAAGTTTCAATTAGCACCGCAACGTGAGTGGAAACAGTTCTTTGAATTTCGAACAATAATTCAAAGCATCGTTAGTGGTAGCAATGCCTTGTTTTGACGCCAAACAATGATTCCGAAAAACTTGTAATTCAACTTCAAGTGAAGCTTCGTCCGGTTTGGCATTGGCTGGAAACCAGTCAATCAGCGACAACATATCTCTGGGAATAATTTACTTTCGTTGTATACGGTGGCATTAGCAAGAAAACAGCGGGCTCTATATGATCTTAAAGGCCACCACTTTCAAGTTATATATCTTCAAGCAATAGTATTTGGGCGTCAAGCACTTGCAGGAACTCTTTTCTGTAAAACGTTTGCAACCCCAAATGAACAGTGTTTTCAGGCGCATCATCAATTCTGCGTGGTGCCACTCTCTTCCTGTGGTACTTAGCAAACTCCGATTCAGCATTGACACCATGTTGAGCATTAAACGTAACAGCAGCTTCTATTTGGAGATTTAGTTTTTCTTCCAAAGCATCGGCAATATTCAATTCAATGGCTTGAACTTACTTTGTTAAAATCTTCGTTTTAGACATAACTTTTCTCATGAGCATTAAGGCCAGGATGAATTCGAAACATTTGACAGATTCTTAGCTTTAACCCTTGTCTTGGCATCTTCTGATTCCGCTTCTTTATCCAAAGCAGCAATTATGTCATCAAACCTCGCCCACTCTGCCACAATTGACTCTGAGCGTGCAACCCAAAAATGACAGAAAGATTCCTCAGCTGAAGTGCCCCCTCTATATCTTTATCCTTCACTTTCTGTCAAAACGTTTGCACGGAAAATTTTTTTTGACAAGTCGGGCACAATGAAAAAAAGTCGGGCAAATTTCTTTCTGCCCCCTAATTTTTTTCTTCGCGTACACGTATGCCTCGTGTGTAGCTATAACTGCTCGCAATTGGTTCCGAAAAAATAGTGCGCATTCAAAATATAGTACGTAAATGTTATTTTGAGAAGTTTTGTCGAACTATAATTAGTGTACGTATATGTTCCATACAGACTGGTGATATAACCATAGCCTCCCATCGCGCCCTTTGGACCGCGCATTAAACGGGCTCTGGATTTGGTTTCGTGGGACCGACTTTATTATAACCATCAGGACCGAATGTTTAAATATGGGGGGAGGGTGTCACCCCCCACACCCCCCTTACTTGCGCTCCCGTATACAACCCGAACAGTCGAAGTCAGTAAGTTTAGGCAGGCACCGCTGTCTTTAGAGCGGAGAGTATAATTTTTTTGGTGTTGTGGTCTTGATTGTTTGTGACACAGCGCGAACTCAGAATTTCTCGACGTTTGCAGGTATTGTAATGTAGTATCAGAGCTTCTGTTTACCATTTTGTTCTAGAAATATTCTTTTGTTAGCAGTGTAAGCTGATCACTTATTTTTACCGACAGTAAACATGTCTTTTAGTCATTGTTGCGAACTATATTTTTGCTACAACGAAGCTGCTTTTAGAATATTTATAAACGAAAACAATAACCCTTGAAGTGTGAAGGTTATCTTGTGTTTTGGCGCGAAAATTTGACTTTTATGTAAATTGAATTTAATGTGCCTCTAAAAACTTGCATTTTTGCCAGTTTTACTTGTGTTAAAGCACACTTTGCCAAATTTTTTTACTTGGAGTTGCCTTGAATCTTTCATTCTGGAAGTAAAAAGTAGGTTCTACATTTTACAGACCTAAAACCTGCTGCATAATACAAATGACATCCAAGTATGCCCTTATGAAAAGCTAGAATCCAGTGAGAACATAGAACACAGAACGTGGTAAGGGGGGGAGGGTGCAATGTCTGAACAATGATTTCCTATATAAATACATCCTCGGTCCCAGGGCCTCACGGCTGACACTGCGTTGCCGGAGGCCCTGGCGAAAACCAAAACCGGAACTTCAAAAATCTTGTAGTTTGCCGGAAGTAAACGTAATAAAATGCTGACTCTGCATCTTTTTTTTGCAAGGAGTGAACTTTGAGAATTTCTCGAAAGAAATAATGTTTTACATGCAAGATAAACATTAATTTGATCTGGATTTCACCATTATATGATTTAATGATTGACCAAATCAGTAAACTAAAGGATCATGTAAATGTTTCAATTATGAAAGCTGTTCAAGTTGATGAATCGAACTATACAATGTGTAGTTTGGGAGAGTCATTGTATACGGACAGCAATCAATTGGAGAACATGAAAGTTTTTGAATTTTTATTATAATCGACGAAATATACAGACAATTTAAAAGCGATTGTTGTGGACGAAGCCCAATCTTGTTACTGAATGGTGAGTGAGTGATACTGACATATTTGGTTGTTTCTCAATATTCTTTCTGCAAGACTGTACACATACAGTACAGACAACATATATTCTGTTTAATACGTCTGGTCTAAACGCTGCATTTTACATGTGCCAAGTCTAGAAAAGTTTGTTCAACCTTTTAAGTGCTACCAAATTATTTTACTCAGCTTAACATGCCAGATGATTGAGTGTACTGGTTAATGTGAGAGTGCTACTGCTCAATGGGTTAATCAGATCATATAATTGTACTTTACTATCTTACTGTCTAATGTCAGACAATTTTGCTCATCAAGAGGAGAGTGGGTATAATTGCAAAGTAATTACTTTGCCACTTTGGACAAATGTATAGGTTACATATGTTTACTACGTACCGGTATGTACATAAATTCAACATTTAAATCAAAATGTCAAACTTTATTATTTGAGTCAAACCATGTAAATTCACATTAGATTTGGCACATGTAAAATGCGGCATTTAGACAGAGACAATGAGCATAAAAACCTGAAATATTATGTGCATCCCATCCACCTACCCGCCCCTCCCTCCACCTTAATCTTGGTATCCCCAGATAACGATTGTTTGTAGGATATACAACTACCTGTAAGGTATCGTGTGACTGCATACTACAAGCTAGTATCATATTCAGTTTAATACATATATATGACTTGAAATATGTATTTTCTTGCCAGCCATTTTCAATCATAAAATTATCTATGTTGCTGTTAAATTATGATTGGCCTAAAATTTTTGGCTAAAGATTGTTTTAATTTATAAACATTGTACTACTACTTTAGGAAGGACTTCAGGCCTTACTATGAAAGGATTGGTATGTCGGGAAGTTTGTTTCTTCATCAACTCAGAGAAAGAAGTTGCATCAACTCAGAAAAAGAAAGAAATTTCATTAACTCAGAGAAAGAAATAACATGAACAAAATAAACAATTTTGTGTCACTGATATACATAATGATTTATTCTTACAATTTCCTCTATGAAAATTTGGTGTGTTAATAAAGATACTGTAAAAAATAAATAACAGCTTTATGGTGCATCCATGCTGTGCTTTAATATTGCAGTGGTGTAGGAAATGGAGGTGTGTGGGTACCAGTGTGCTTGTGTGTGGAGGCCGGATGCTTCAGGAGTTCCCCGACAAGGAATATCAGGTTCCCAACGGGACTAGCTAACAGTCGTGGGTCGTGGGTCGTGGGTAGAATGTCGTGGGTCGTGGGTAAAAAGGCGTGGGTCGTGGGTAAAAAGGCGTGGGTCGTGGGTAAAAAGGCGTGGGTCGTGGATAATTTATATTTTATAATATACTATATTTAATATAATATTATGTATGGCATGGACCCCTCTTGCATTGAACAACCACACAGACTGACAGACACTCATTCACGGTCAGGATTTTCTCATTTGTAATTGAAAGATTCAAGACATCACTCACATATAGCCTTTCGCCTGCCTTTATACTTGCATATAATTAAATCTCGTAGAAACTACAGGGTGTTCCAAAAAAAAGTGACACTATAGAAATTATCTCATTGTTATAATTTGAATGCCCTAGCACTAAGTTGATCCCACAGGTGCATAAACTTCTGCTTCTAGAATTTAAAATAAAAAAGCAAGCCGTTTATTAGTGTGATCGTTTTGCTTGACTCGGGCGTTAAAATATTTGGACAAAGCGAAAACGTTTTAAAATGCTTAAATGTAAATACAAGTTCATTAAATTCCCAGGCGTGTAATCACGCGCGTTTAAAAGCGGCTTAAGAACAATGAGATAACTATAGTGTCACTTTTTTCTGGGACATCCTGTATAAAATGTCCCTTCGCTTCGGCAGTTCGGCTTCGGCGATTTCAATCCAATGTCCAATTTGTGCAGCTTTTTAATACATTGTGACACAACATCCAACATTTTTTATATTGAAAATAAAATTTCCATTGATAGACAGCAGATTTCAACGACCAAAACGACTCTTCGTCTTCTTTGAAGAGTTATTACACTCCTGTGTACTCCTATAGTCAGCCATATTTATTAGTAAAAGTTCGTGTTCAATTTCCGCATTCCATTGTTT